GGAATAATGTAAATTGGATTAGTCCGTTTCAGACCCCCAAAAATACACTTACACAATTGTTAGAGTTTTCCATATGTTTGTGGTAATGAAAATATGAACATATAAAGTTTTCTCATATTTAGATGTTGTTGGAACATGTTAGGGAAAGTAGGTGTTTTTTATGGTAGTTTTGAAGATGCTGGCAGAGAAAGCGGCTCAAGATTTTCAGCATGGAGTTTCAGATTTTGGGTCTTTATGCACAATGAATTTTTACAAAGGTTAAGCCAGACACAAGGTATATCATAGAGATTTTTGTGTCTAGTACAGTATTATATCTTATGGGTCCTGTTACAACTATCAACGAGGTGCTTCAGGTCAGGATTAATATTAGAATTTATTGTTCTGTATATGTAGGATGCACAGTAGTACAAGTGAATGTTTTGTATAGTAAGTAGATTTTGATCTATGAAGAGTGAGGAGAGGGGGGTGTTATCTAGCAGTGGACTGTGTGATCATCTGTGCTGTAGCTTTTTCCGAGTTATTATTGGCTTCAAGTGATCTGTTGTTGTGGATCCTCAGGCACAACTAGCACAGGCAAAGTAGGGGTAGAGCAGTGAATAGTATAATGGAAGTAGTTTTGTCAATGTTAAGTGTGAGTTTATTGGTAGTCATCCAGGTTGATATTATTTAAGAGCTCTTCATTAACATTGTTGAGTGATGCTAGATTTGGGTGGGAGATGACAAAAGTTGTGTCGTCAGCAAAGAGAATAGGTCTAAGTTGCTGCGATACATTTGGAAAGTCGTTGATGTATAAGAGGAAAAGCAGAGGGCCAAGGAGGGATTGACCTATTCATGAGTAGTACTTTTGAGAGGTTAAAATCCTTATGTACCGAGGGCCTTTCACACATTAGATTCCCACTTCTTTGGGGCATCAAGGGCAAAAATATACTTGTAACGATATTCCAACCTAAATATACAAATGGATTTGATAATATCCAGTAGTTTTATTTGTGCTGGTCAGTCATTAGGGGGAACTCCTGGAGAGGCATCAGGGAGTCCTTGGGCAGGCATCAGGGAATCTCTGGGTAAGCATCAAAGGGTCCCTGGGCAGGGATCAGGGGGTCCCTGGACAGGCACTGTTACATACTCTAGTCTTTCCTCCTCAAGTTGTTTTATGTTAGGTTCAATTAGCTTAGGTAAAAGTTAATAGCCCTAAATATTGGCAGGCCCCACTTATACAGCAGGTTAGGTTCTGAGCTACTGCTGTAAAATGAAAACTGCTGTAAAGTGAATCATAACTTTTTTTCACTATCATATATTAAGTGAGTAATAGAGCTAGGTCTAAAACAATGCAAATACAGTATACACATTGCTTACCTTAAAATATTTTTATTAGGTTATAGCGAATGGTGAACATATTTACTGTAGGAAGTCTGAATAAATAAACAATGTGTATAATATAAAACCATTGTATTAGGAAAACATCGTAAAGCAGGATCCTCCTGCATACATAATATAACCAAAAGCATACCAGATCCGTGAATGCAGTGGAAAATACTGTCACCCCACAGTTTTACAATACAGTGGACCCCCGCATAACGATCACCTCCGAATGCGACCAATTATGTAAGTGTATTTATGTAAGTGCGTTTGTACGTGTATGTTTGGGGGTCTGAAATGGACTAATCTACTTCACAATATTCCTTATGGGAACAAATTCGGTCAGTACTGGCACCTGAACATACTTCTGGAGTGAAAAAATATCGTTAACCGGGGGTCCACTGTATATGTATCAGTGGCTCACTTCAGAGCTGCCAGACTGGCCTCTGTTCCCATCCTCAAAACTAACCAGTATTTTATTTTTTTATTTTTCAGTTTATTAATATAAAATGCAAATCATGGTTATACAGGACAATGTAAACAAATACTGTACTATTAATTAATTTATTATGGTGTAAGGAGAGTACAGTATGCTGCAGACAGGTTAATTAAGGAGTGGGAATAGAGTGCATCATCCACCCATCCTCAATTCTTTTCCCCTTCAACTGTCAACTATCTTCCTGTCCTCAATTTCCCCCCCCCCACTGCTAAATATCCCCATCCTCAATATTTCCCCCCCCCACTGTCAATTATCCCCGATCCTTCCCTGCCTGACACCCACTGTACCAGACATGGATAATTGTGCCAACAGAACAATGTAAATGGCTAAAGACTTAATTGAAATATAATGCAATCCTTTACTGACAATGTTTCTGCTCACACAGTGGGCTTTATTAAGTCATAAACAGATCTACCTGGGGAGAGAGGATGTACGTATGTATACATAGCGAACATAGTGACATGAAGTTACACAGATCCGTTTGTGAACTGATAAACCTCATTGTGCACAAAATGTTAATTTAGGATTACATCATACTGCTTTTGTGTCTATCAATCTTGCCGGTATTTTATACCATTTCTCTCCAGAACAACATAAATAATAACTAACCATGTGTTAGATGTGAGTAAGACCTGCCTAGCATTAGGTAATGAGCTACCTGTAGTGCACCTCTATTGTAATGTAATGTGTGAACAGAACCTGCTTAGCATGGGCCCATAGGTCCTATTGCAGTGCTCTTTTATTCTTGTTTATTTGACCCCCCTTTAATATCCCACAAAAACTATAGCAGACTTCTACAAAAGATATGAAAAATTAATGATTTTTTGGCAAAAAATCGGGGATTGGCCTATACACACCATCACATTATATTCATATATTCAAGTATATTGGTGGAATGATGATGTAAAGAGAGTAGTAAGGGAGAAAAAGTTAGCATATGAGAAGTTTTTACAAAGTAGAAGTGATGCAAGGAGGGAAGAGTATATGGAGAAAAAGAGAGAGGTTAAGAGAGTGGTGAAGCAATGTAAAAAGAGAGCAAATGAGAGAGTGGGTGAGATGTTATCAACAAATTTTGTTGAAAATAAGAAAAAGTTTTGGAGTGACATTACCAAGTTAAGGAAGCCTAGAAAACAAATGGATTTGTCAGTTAAAAATAGGAGAGGAGAGTTATGAAAAGGAGAGTTAGAGGTATTGGGAAGATGGAGGGAATATTTTGAGGAATTGTTAAATGTTGATGAAGTTAGGGAAGCTGTGATTTCGTGTATAGGGCAAGAAGGAATAACATCTTGTAGGTGTGAGGAAGAGCCAGTTGTGAGTGTGGGGGAAGTTCGTGAGGCAGTAGGTAAAATGAAAGGGGGTAAGGCAGCCGGGATTGATGGGATAAAGATAGAAATGTTAAAAGCAGGTGGGGATATAGTTTTGGAGTGGTTGGTGCAATTATTTAATAAATGTATGGAAGAGGGTAAGGTACCTAGGGATTGGCAGAGAGCATGCATAGTTCCTTTGTATAAAGGCAAAGGGGACAAAAGAGAGTGCAAAAATTATAGAGGGATAAGTCTGTTGAGTATACCTGGTAAAGTGTATGGTAGAGTTATTATTGAAAGAATTAAGAGTAAGACAGAAAATAGGATAGCAGATGAACAAGGAGGCTTTAGGAAAGGTAGGGGGTGTGTGGACCAGGTGTTTACAGTGAAACATGTAAGTGAACAGTATTTAGATAAGGCTAAAGAGGTCTTTGTGGCATTTATGGATTTGGAAAAGGCGTATGAGGGTGGATAGGGGGGCAATGTGGCAGATGTTGCAGGTCTATGGTGTAGGAGGTAGGTTACTGAAAGCAGTGAAGAGTTTTTACGAGGATAGTGAGGCTCAAGTTAGAGTATGTAGGAAAGAGGGAAATTATTTCCCAGTAAAAGTAGGCCTTAGACAAGGATGTGTTATGTTACCGTGGTTGTTTAATATATTTATAGATGGGGTTGTAAGAAAAGTAAATGCGAGGGTCTTGGCAAGAGGCGTGGAGTTAAAAGATAAAGAATCACACAAAGTGGGAGTTGTCACAGTTGCTCTTTGCTGATGACACTGTGCTCTTGGGAGATTCTGAAGAGAAGTTGCAGAGATTGGTGGATGAATTTGGTAGGGTATGCAAAAGAAGAAAATTAAAAGTGAAAACAGGAAAGAGTAAGGTTATGAGGATAACAAAAAGATTAGGTGATGAAAGATTGGATATCAGATTGGAGGGAGAGAGTATGGAGGAGGTGAATGTATTCAGATATTTGGGAGCGGACGTGTCAGTGGATGGGTCTATGAAAGATGAGGTGAATCATAGAATTGATGAGGGGAAAAGGGTGAGTGGTGCACTTAGGAGTCTGTGGAGACAAAGAACTTTGTCCTTGGAGGCAAAGAGGGAAATGTATGAAAGTATAGTTTTACCAACGCTCTTATATGGGTGTGAAGCATGGGTGATGAATGTTGCAGCAAGGAGAAGGCTGGAGGCAGTGGAGATGTCATGTCTGAGGGCAATGTGTGGTGTAAATATAATGCAGAGAATTTGTAGTTTGGAAGTTAGGAGGAGGTGCAGGATTACCAAAACTGTTGTCCAGAGGGCTGAGGAAGGGTTGTTGAGGTGGTTCGGACATGTAGAGAGAATGGAGCGAAACAGAATGACTTCAAGAGTGTATCAGTCTGTAGTGGAAGGAAGGCGGGGTAGGGGTCGGCCTAGGAAAGGTTGGAGGGAGGGGGTAAAGGAGGTTTTGTGTGCGAGGGGCTTGGACTTCCAGCAGGCATGCATGAGCGTGTTTGATAGGAGTGAATGGAGACAAGTGGTTTTTAATACTTGACGTGCTGTTGGAGTGTGAGCAAAGTAACACTTATGAAGGGGTTCAGGGAAACCGGCAGGCCGAACTTGAGTCCTGGAGATGGGAAGTACAGTGCCTGCACTCTGAAGGAGGGGTGTTAATGTTGCAGTTTAAAAACTGTAGTGTAAAGCACCCTTCTGGCAAGACAGTGATGGAGTGAATGATAGTGAAAGTTTTTCTTTTTCGGGCCACCCTGCCTTGGTGGGAATCGGCCAGTGATAAAAAAAAAAAAATATGTAATATACTTTATTCCTATTAATAATAATAGAGTAATGCAAATTTTCACTCACCTTTTCTATACTGTTCAAAGCCATCTTCTCCTAGTTCAATAACCATTTTTGCCTTCCATTTCTCTAATGCTATCTTATTAGCCAAAGGCATAGTTTCATCCAGTATTTTCCTAACACTTGGAAGTTTTTGATAACCACCATCAAACATTCCAACTGTCACAATATTTTCCTGCACTAGGGTTGGGATGGGTACAGAAGTGCACAGCTTGGTATAACCAGTCAATGGAGTGTCACTAAACAGGGGAAAATCTTTTATCATTTTCATGTCCAAAGAGCTTGGAACAGCTGAAAATTTGGAATTGTCTATTGTAATAAAAGAGCTATTATTATTATTTTCTTTGAGTTTATTAATGAATGGCATTTGGTCCAGTCTTTGTTCCTTTACTTTATCTTTTTGAGCACTATGAACACTATTTTGTGTAGGTTCCTTAAAAGTAGTTTCTTCATTACTTTTTGTAACATGCAAGTCATCTTCATTTGATTTTTCATTTAATAAAATTTCAGTGTTATGAAAAGCAGCACAACAGCCTTCTCTGCCCTCTGTCCAAGAAGCAACTATAATTTTCTGAACTTTATCTTTTCCTTGGGAAAATGCTTTATGTTGTTTTAAGTCGCATATTTGTGGCATTTTTCTAAGAGCTACTGTTCTTTTATTAATGCTTTCAGGGTATTTAGAAGTTGCAGTATTCTGATAAGGATCATCCTGTACTATAGCCTGCTGTAATTCTATTTTAACTTTGAATGTATTTTGTTTATTTGATAATCTGGAATTACCAGGAAAAATACCAAGCAAGTGAGAGTTTTCTACATAATGTACAAGGGGCTTAATTTGTACTACAGCTCTGCTTTCTTTTACATTTTTTTTACTTGTTTTTCTCCTGTTCTTTACTGTAATATCCAGTGCTTCTCTTCTTAAACACCTCGTTTTCTGGGCAGATGTTTCTATAAGCGGGCCAAAAAGCATCTTGTTTGTAGATGCTAAAGTTTGTTTAATTGGTACTGCTTTACTGTCACTTTTATTGTGCTGTCTACCATCAAATTCTGATGGTCTACCCATAAAATATTGCATCTCTGCTTCACAGGCAATGTTTTCTTGATTAGTGTCATTTTCTGTGCTGGTAACTTTGTGGATGAGCTCTTCATCTGGAGTGTCTGAACCACTAGTCCTTCTATTAACCCTGAGCCTGAAAGAGTTGACCTTGGGTTGGCAGACAGACCAGACACTTGTATTTATGAAGTTCCTCAGCAACATACCCTGAAAACAAAATTAACATTAATAATATTTGGTTTAGTTAAGCAAATTATCATTCTTCAATTGTTTTAAATCTGATTAAAACATCAACTTATAACTGAACTGTAACAAATCAACACTGCATGTCTAAAATGATGCAAATTACAGCCTCTCCTCACTTAACAATGGAGTTCCGTTCCTTAGACCACGTTGGTAAACAAATTTGTCTCTAAGTGAGGCGCATAATATATTCAATTCAATTCAATTCAAAGTTTATTCTCTATAAAGATTACAATGTTGAATTTACAGAATTTGGTTGTTGTGTGGTTTACATGTAGTTAAATAATGATTACAGAGTGTACTACTAGAATGCCTAGCATGGCTAGGCATTTCGGGCAGACTTAGTTTAATTCTTTATTTTAAAATACTACAAATTATGGTAACGGGTTTGTGTCAATCATCTTTTATAATGTTTTATTGTCACTTTTACACCATTTTTAACATTTCTGGAATATTTGTAAATGTTTATATAGTAGTGTACTGTACATTGTAATAAACAGAATATAGAAAATCAGCTCTAGTATATTTTATTTAGTTATATGTACATACTGGTCAGAGAGCCCGTTTTAAGTCCAAGTTGTAGGTAAACGTGTACGTTGCTAAGTGAGGAGAAGCTGCATAATATAGGGGGGAGCTGTATAGAGCTTTTTGGTCATAATTTGAAATGTCTGTATTAGTGGAACACTGTAAGGCGAAACACCGTAAAGTGGGGCCCTACTGTATATTACGGTTTGGGCTCTGGTGACCCATTAGGAACAGCCATCTCACAAGCACACCTCTGAAACAATACAGTGAATAAGAAAACATGGAAAACCAAATAAACTTCAAGGACAAAACAGACAGATGTCCCAAAGAATTGAAAGCCCTCAAGGATACACAAGTTATCTCACCTACTCAACAACCAAATAAAACTGAATAACAACAGCTAGCTGATGATGTGGTCATATTGTGCCCAGAGTTCCCACCAACTCTTACTCAAATTCCTGTCTGAAATCACTCTTAATTAACAATGAGAATTAGGAATAGTCTCCCCAAAATGCCTAGGCATGCTAGTGGCTTTCTTTGTACTTCCTAGTTTGTAATTTGTAAACCACACATTGTAAAATTTGCAAAGGAATAAAAAAAATGGAATTTTGAATGAGCTGAGTGTTAGCATTAGGCCTAATGTTTTCAAAGAAGCAATCATGTTAGGCAAACCAGTAATAAGACAATCAATCTTGCTAAGATTTTCTATCTCCTTGACAAGAAAAGACCTTATTCAGGCTTGCATAAGCCAGAAAAAAATAATCATAAATGAGAACCTCACAAGAAAACAACAGAATAATTTTTCTGGTTAAGAAACACTGAAGGATAAGCAGCATTAAAATCCACCAGTATGTTGCATACAACAGACAAACTATGACTAGAAAAAGCAGTCGTCAGGTACAAGATACTAAGTGAACAGGACCTGATCCAAGTCCTTAATAAATCCGGCTTAAACAGGAAATTCCCAACTCAAATCAGATGCACCACCTAGGCCTAAACACCAGCAGTACCAGGCATCTTAACCCCTAAAGATAAGATAAGATTTCGTTCGGATTTTTAACCCCGGAGGGTTAGCCACCCAGGATAACCCAAGAAAGTCAGTGCGTCATCGAGGACTGTCTAACTTATTTCCATTGGGGTCCTTAATCTTGTCCCCCAGGATGCGACCCACACCAGTCGACTAACACCCAGGTACCTAGTTGCTGCTAGGTGAACAGGACAACAGGTGTAAGGAAACGTGTCGAAATGTTTCCACCCGCCGGGAATCGAACCCGGGCCCTCCGTGTGTGAAGCGGGAGCTTTAGCCACCGGGCCACAGAAAGTCCTTACTCCACCAGCGCCGCCGCTGAAGTGGCTAAAATTAAGCCGATGACCAGGTGCCCCTCCTGTAATGTGGTTGATAAGGACAATTTTTTTTTTATAGTAATGTCCAGGGTTTATTACCTGGACCTCAGCAATGAGAGTCGCTACTCTCACCGCTGGGCAACGGCGACCAGTGCAGCGTCTCAGAGAGAACGAAAGAAAATTGTCGCTGATATTCAGGCCAGACCGTAGCATCCAAGTTCTTTCTTTTCCTACTTGCAGCGCTGTATAGTCCTTGTGGCTTAGCGCTTCTTTTTGATTATAATAATAATAATAATAATCTTTTCGTACTTTGTTGGGTTTATCAGGACCACTGACACCTTACACTGTATCAAGCCTGACTTCCCGATGTTCGGGGAAGATTTACTGCCGAAAGCTGGGCCACAGAAGAAAAAGGAACAAAAGTTCCCAATTAGATCAGGTGGACGCCCTTGCCAAGCACCAGCACAGCCAGACGGCCACACCCCACCTGAGTTCAGTAACCGGCTTCCCACCAAAACCGGTTAGAGATTATCCGCAGAGCGGAAAAAATGGAGCTGGCTAAAAGTAAGCCGATGAACAGGTGTCCCTCCTGTAGTGCCCGGCGGGCAAAACAGACGAGGACAAGTGTCCCAGTGAGAATGAGGGAAATTTGTCACTGATACTCAGGCGAGAGAGAGACGTCCACACACGACGAAGGCTGGCGCAGAAGTCCAAGTCACCCACCTTTGAAGTCATTAACGTCTTGTTATTGTTATTGTAGGTTTATAAGGCTATGGCAGCTTACGCTGTATCGAGCCCTTTTCGCTGTCTGGGAGGGAAATTCGTCCAACCAATAAATAATGATGATGAAATAATAAATAATAATAATAATAATAATAATAATAATAATAATAATAATAATAATAATAATAATAATAATAATAATAATAATAATAATAATAACATCTTTATTTCTACAAGTACATGTACAAGGTATACAGGTCTAGCTGATATCAGTGACATACTACTATATAGAAAGCCCCTTGTTATGCGAAGCATTTCGAAGATAACTAGAAAAAATCAAACAAAGTGACTTATTTCCAATGTCGTACTTGTTATTTCCACTTGGATTTAACTGAGCGGACTTCAACGTCGGCGTTGACAGAGAGCCGAAGTGCTTTCTCGAAGCTCTTGGATTGCCTGTCGTCGGTGACAGACTTCTCTTTTACCCAGTTATTGTGCCTCTCAGCCAATGGAAGTCACTTTGTCTGACTTTTTGAGGTTATCCTAGGTAATTTGCACATGTGTTACTAGGGATGATAATTATACTTATGTGTACCTGTTTTTCTGAAGTGACTAGACAAGCTGATTACGTCACAGACCTCCGAAGACCTCAAGAAATCTGTCGAAGACCAGAACCCTTGGGCCACTGTGGAAAGCATTACCAAGATTCCCACGGCCTCTTCAATGCTAAAGATCACCTTTACTGACGTCACGATGGCTTCCCAAGCTATGGCTGAGGGACTAGCCATCTACTACTACTTCATAAACGCCAACCACATTAAAGCTGAGCGATACCACCATGTCACTCAATGCTGAACCTGTTTCTCATACCTTCACTCGACAAAAGACTGCCCCACCAAGGACAAGAAGTTCTGTTCCACCTGCGGTACTGAGGGCCACGACTCCAAGACATGCGCTTCCACTGCTTCACTCAAGTGTCTAAACTTCAAAAATAACCACCACACTCTCGCTGCTAAGTGTCCTACTCGCCGAGAAATCATCAGAAAGAACATAGAATCAGAACAGAAGTTTCCATCCAGATCACCCACCTATGCTGCTATCACCAAACTCCAGGCTGACACCACCAAACTCCTGAAATCAACCCAACACTCCACCACCAGTACCTCTCCACCAGCATGTCACTCCACTAAAATCCAGTACTGTCTGCTGTATGCACACATGCAGAACATGGCATCTCCAGGATCTTTTAACACGACTATCAACGAACTTTTCAGACTGAACAACATGCCTGCATTCACCTTCCCAGACTCTCCACCTTCTGCCGACATCATCAAGCTCATCCAAGCACCAGTCAATATCACCACTGTAGATGAATGGTTCAAAGAACCGACACGTTGTTGAATTATACACATGTGCAACTCTTGGGTATCTTTATTGGACATTGGACAAATGTGACACCACCTACCACTGCTGCACCTCACCTGTCATACGGTTTATAAGCTGCTTCTCCGCTCATATGCCGTATTCTATTCAAGATTGATGGACTGACCACATCGACTCAAGGTTGAGGGACTGATTACCTCATTCTCCTCATGTTCTTCAAGTTTATCCTTTGTATGGACTGATGAAGCCACTGTGTGGCGAAACGTTTCCTCAATAAAGATACCCAAGAGTTGCGCATGTGTCTAATTTAACAATATCACCACTACTGAAAACACAACGCAAGACTCGCACAACACCACCACTGCCTCAGACCAATCATCAATCTCCACCGACCCAACTTCTGTACCTCCACCTCAGTCACTGCTGGCCAAGAAAGTCAAAGCACTCCTACCTGAAAGATAAGATAAGATAAGATAAGATTTCGTTCGGATTTTTAACCCCGGAGGGTTAGCCACCCAGGATAACCCAAGAAAGTCAGTGCGTCATCGAGGACTGTCTAACTTATTTCCATTGGGGTCCTTAATCTTGTCCCCCAGGATGCGACCCACACCAGTCGACTAACACCCAGGTACCTATTTGCTGCTAGGTGAACAGGACAATAGGTGTAAGGAAACGTGTCGGAATTTCCACCCGCCGGGAATCGAACCCGGGCCCTCCGTGTGTGAAGCGGGAGCTTTAGCCACCAGACCACCAGGCCACCTAAATCTTCCACAAGAACCTGCAATACCTGTAGCACAACCGACAACAGACTACAAAGTCAGTTCCACCCTACCTATCTCCTTATTTACAAATTGCCTTACTCATAGCACTCTATATGCACACCAAGCTATCCAGTGCATACAGACTGGCCAAGTCAAGTACACCATCGACCCACGGTACGACCAGCCTACTATTGATGCTATAATTGAAGACCTACGCAATGACCAAGTACTCTCGGTGCTCACAAAATCGACTTTTAGAAGAATCATCAACGGCGCCTTCACGGATCCGAAACTGATCCGTATATGATGCATTAAATCCAAGGCACAGATCTAGTAGGCTCAGTAGTGCCCACAATTCGAGCATTATCATGCTCATTTAGAAATTTCGCTAGTTTAGTTCCAGTGGTGTTTATTATAGACCCACCAATATTTTTATGTCTGGCATTAAAGTCTCCAAGAATGAGGGTAGGTTCACTATTGATGTGATCTGGTACAGCATCAGGTCGAAGCTGGTTCGCTGGGGCATAAAGATTAAAAATGTTTATGGAAAAATCGCCTGCGTATACTTTGACACCATGATACTGCACGTTTACTCGACTCTGCAGAGCAAGTGAGAATGTGGTAAGTTCTTTCTGACATACACCACACAATATTTGATGGACACAATACACAAATAACCCGCACATAGAAGAGAGGAGCTTACAACGACGTTTCGGTCCAACTTGGACCATTTACAAAGTCACCGGAACGTCGTCGTAAGCTCCTCTCTTCTATGTGCGGGTTATTTATGTATCGTTCCAGTCACGGTATTGTGCCTTTTTTTATTATTAGTTGGTGGACCTTTAGTTATAAGCTGCATATCCAGGCAACTTTGGTGGAGGTGCTCCATCTTTCAGTCTACATTCCTGCAAACAGATGACATCAACATTCTTGGTTGCACTAATATGATGTAAGTCAGGCAACCGCCTTAAGCATTTCTCGGCATCTTGGCAACCAGTTCCAAGGCAAGTCTTAAAGCCAAGAGTCATGGGCTTCATTCATAGAAATTGCTTGCAACTGGACGGAGATTGCTGCACTTTTGACATCAACGTAGTCAGGAGCATCATCCTGACTACTTATATTTGTTAAACTTGTCAGCATCTGTTCAAGATGCTCAATTTTTTTTTTTTTTTTGCAAGTTTGTTATAATTTGAGGAAGGTCAGGGGAATCCAATGCCTCTCCAGAGGAAGGCAGGTCTGAGTTAGTTCTTTCTTTAACGCATATCACCTTAACAGGTACCATGGTTAAATTAGTGTCCTCTGATGGTGCCTTTGGCATGACTATCTCATCATTCACTGTAGGTAGTTCCTGTGCATCTAACCCATCTCCAGCTTCCAGGGGAGAAAGTTACATGTGTGGTGTCCATCTGACTGTTGTAGATGTGTATATTGGGAAAAATGACATGCTCATCCCCATATTCAGGTGTAGGCGTAGGTATAAGTAGTGGCAGATCAGTAGTTCCACATGTACTAGCAGGGATGGCTAGCTCCTCTACAACTGGTGTGTGTGATGGCGTTCTGGTATCACTAGACCGGGCCGAGGGGGTGTTGAACCCCGAAACCCTCTCCAGGTAAACCAGAATCCTTTGCAATGAGGTTGGACTCTTCCACACTTTGCAGAAATTGTCTCAGATCTGGCTGTGGTAGACTGGATGGCCTCATCGTCAGCTGCCATTAGTTTAGTTTTAGTTTAATATGGTTATTATGCACCCCATACCCATCCTGTGGGCGGTAGTCAAAAGATTACAGAGGTACATAATGGGCCCAGGGACTGGGCCCCAAAGTTTTGATAGCTGAGCAAGTTACAAAGGTAATGAACTCCAGGTAGATCTGGTCACAATCATGACAAGTTACAAAGGTATTTACAGATTACAGTGGTACATAATGGGTCCAGGGACTGGTCCCCCAAAGTTTTGATAGCTGAACTAGGTACAAAGGTAATGAAGTCACAAGTTACAAAGGTAATGAATCCTGTAAGTAAAGTTACTTACGTTTATACATAGCTACAATCATGAACAAATTATAGAGTAATAAGCAATTCACACGTCCACACCCTGTCAGCTGCCATTAAAGGACTGTTATAAGGTTTACGTCGAAGGTTGTTTGGGTTCCGACTGCAGTCCTTATGGGAAACTGTAACCCCAACTTCTTTACAGTTAATACACTTAAAGTTTTGGCTGTCAAGGCTCTATAATTTGTTCATGATTGTAGCCAAAGTATAAACGTAAGTAACCATTCTACAGAATTCATTACCTTTGTAACTTGTGAGCTCATTACCTTTGTACCTAGTTCAGCTATCAAAACTTTGGGGGCCCAGTCCCTGGACCCATTACGTACCTCTGTAATCTGTAAATACCTTTGTAACTTGTCATGATTGTGACCAGACTTACCTGGAGTTCATTACCTTTGTAAATTGTGAGTTCATTACCTTTGTAAATTGTGAGTTCATTACCTTTGTAAATTGTGAGTTCATTACCTTTGTAAATTGTGAGTTCATTACCTTTGTAAATTGTGAGTTCATTACCTCTGTAACTTGCTCAGCTATCAAAACTTTGGAGACCAGTCCCTGGACCAATTATGTACCTCTGTAATCTTTTGACTACCGCCCACAGGATGGGTATGGGGTGCATAATAAACATATTAAACTAATAACTGTCAAGGCCTACTGTGCATTCTCTAGTGGAAAGTTTCCCAGCACACTTACCATACCAAGAATGTAGTATTCCTCAGTCTACTGCAACATGACCATAGTGCTGGCATTTGTAACACCTACTTTGAGGGAGGGTAGGTACACTTTGATGTTTA